CTAAGTAGTGTTTCCTTGCTCAAGTTCAGTCATTGGTTATGTGATTGTTTGCAGCATTTCTTACTCTTGTAAGAGATACTCTATCTTACAATGCCAAACATCATGATTCTTTTTAGTTTGTTTGTGTCTGAGGTTCAAATCAACAATTATACTCTTAGATGCAGTCATATTAAGTGCTATTGACATCAATTACAAATATTAGTATCTAGTACAATTTAAATGATATATATTGTCACTCCATTCTAAATTAAACAAATAATAATCTAACACATATAATAAAAATGAAAAGAATGTTAAACACTTAATCGATATCTATTTGTATGGTTTAATTATTATTGAAAATTTAAATGAGCGTAAAATTATAGTTACTAGTTTTAACTAACTTCCACTAATCAGGTTGCAAATATTATCATATATATGTATATAATATAATTAAAACTTAAATTACATAAAATATACAGTTCACAATAAACAACTAAAAAATATAATATTAAGAATAATAAATTTTAAAATTAGCTTATATTGTAGGTACATAAATAGGGTCTCCGATTACATTATATAATTCATCATAGTCATCTCCAAGTTCATTTTGCTAAAACCATGAAATGAATTTAGTAACAGCATCCAAATGACATGTGCTTATTCCAATGCGTTACATACCCTTTTCGACATACTACTGGTCCCTCTCAAGCAGCATTTCATCAACGAGATTATTAAAATCTAGGAATTCTAGCTTATATTCCAACGATAGTCACATCAACATCCATTTCTCATCTAGAGAATTGAGAATGATTAACATTTGATATTCCATGTGGATTTCGTAAACACCACTTATAACTAGTCTACTCATTCAATAATATATATAATCAATATACTCTTGAATTTTGTGATCAAGATTAAATGCATAACACAATAAATGATCAATTTGTTACTATCTATCCACTACAACAAAATATTTCAAAAGCATATAAATATTAAACTTAATATTTAATTAAGGCATGTATCGTCATTTATGTTTAAAAAAATTAACACGAAAATTAAATAATTTATTTTAACAATGAATAAATTGGTACCGCAATTAAACAATTTATATTAACAATAAATTAATATTAATTGCTTTGTTATTATTATTTTCAACTGCCAAATGGCAGTTTCCAATCGACTACGGAATTGTATCCAGCAACAAAAGCTAATCAAGTAATTTGAAAGTGCACACTCCAGTGAGTGAACCTTAGATGATCCATCAACAAAAAACTATGAGGATAAGATTCAATATAGAACACATTCACTGGTACCTGTTATAGAAACTGTTTTAGCAAACATGTGCAAGCAGCATACAGACTAGAAACTGTTTTAGCAAACATGTGCAAGCAGTATACGTGTCACTGGCCTTGGCAAACACAGTGAAATAAATTCCTGTCGCACAAGAAATACTCAGGATTCAGGTAGAGAACGTTTAAGATAGTTGAATTTAGAAAATAGAAAACCCACAAGAGATGTACGATGTGATCATGCAACTGGCTTGACAGATATTAAGAATCAGAAAATATTACACAGGAAACTAACTTATTTTGCACGAAACTCACAAACAGCGTGAACCCATTTCATTTCAACCACATTGGTGGATCTCTATCATTTTTTCTAAATAATGTACTGCAGCTTCTCAGTGAATTTAAGGGGGGAAAGGTGGTGGCAATTGATGCAGTCACCGGATGAGGAGGAGGAGCGACATGATTAATTCGCTTTTGTGTGGCCATCAAATCGAAAGTAACATAATATTTTCGACGGAAATGTTGTGAAAGGCAGTGATCAACACACCCAGGTGGGCTTCGCTCATCACCATCTAAATCTTGGCCCTCCATTCACGTTTAGATTTCCCAAGGTTTCATTTTCTGCAGAACTGATGTAGAAGATTCTCACTAGGATTACAATAGGTAATTGAATGTTGTAGTATTATTTATTAATCAATAAAAATAATATATATATACACACACATACCTGATATTTTATATTGTATTAAAAAATTTAAATATTGATTAAGATTCGATGAGTTTCAAGTAAGATTTGATAATATGTATCCATTCAAGTCAAGTTATATTAGCATTCATCAAATTCTAATTCAATTTCTATCCTTAATTTTCATTTCTTTATTTTTTTATTCTCTCATCAATTTAACTTAAACTTTCAGTTGAAAGACGAATAAATTAGGAAGTGGATTTGGGAATGTAGTAGTTTTGACTTTTAAATATTTTTTAAAAGTATATTTATTTTAAAAAATTATAAAATCATGTTAAATTATTCGAAAATTGGTAAGTTCCTTATTTAACTGCAATTAATTTCTATTTTGTGATCCTATTGGCTCGGGAAAGAAAACAAAAATAAAATAGAAGAAAACAAATACCATTTATCCTTGAAACTCAGAAAATGGAGAAAACTAATCTTCATCCTAGTCGTTAGTCGTTTCCTCCAAATCAAATGTACGGAGGTGTCATCAATTAAATTATCTAAAATTATTCTTTACTATTTTATTTTATTTTAATAATTCGAGTCCCTCAAACTATTTTTTAGTAAATCACCATCTAATTCTTGCCTCCATTTATGTTTGGATCTCCTATGTTTTTATTTTCTGCTGAACTGATTCAAAAGGTTCTCGCTAGGATTACAATGGGTACTTTGAAGGTTGTATATATATATATATTTGTTTTTTGAAGTATGTATATGTATATTAAATGATAAATATTATTTTTATATATGTGTTTTATATCAATATTAACTTATTTATACTTTATATTATATTAAAAAATAAATATTCTATAAATATATTTATAGAATATAAATATATATTTCAATTTAGATTTGAACGGTTTTCAAATCGAGTTGATAATATACATACTTTATCTATTATTAATTAAGTCAAAAAATAACTTATCCATTCACGTCAGGTCCGATTGTTATTTATCAAATTCCAATTAAATTTTCATCCTTAATTTTCACTTTCTTCTTTCTATTATCTCATTAATTTAACTTTAAATTTCATGCCAAAAACAATTAAATTAAAAAGTTTGAGAATGCGGCAGTTTCTACTTTTAAATATTTTTTAAAATTATATTTATCTTTAAAAAAATATCAAATTGATATTTTTCATTATTTTTAATATATTAATATAAAAAATTAAAAAATCTAAAAAAATTCATATTAATATATTTTAAAGAAAGAACATTTTTAAAAACCTGACTTTTTTAAAAACACTCCACTAAAAACCAAATAAAAAATATTTTAAAAAATAATCTGAATAGTAAGCAGATTTTAATTAAAAACTTAGCCATGTTTTGCATGTTAAATTATTCGAAAATTGGTAAGTTCCTTATTTAACTGCAATTAATTTCTATTTTGTGATCCTATTGGCTCGGGAAAGAAAACAAAAATAAAATAGAAGAAAACAAATACCATTTATCCTTGAAACTCAGAAAATGGAGAAAACTAATCTTCATCCTAGTCGTTAGTCGTTTCCTCCAAATCAAATGTACGGAGGTGTCATCAATTAAATTATCTAAAATTATTCTTTACTATTTTATTTTATTTTAATAATTCGAGTCCCTCAAACTATTTTTTAGTAGATCACCATCTAATTCTTGGCCTCCGTTTATGTTTAGATCTCCTAAGTTTTTATTTTCTGCTGAACTGATTCAGAAGGTTCTCGCTAGGATTACAATGGGTACTTTGAAGGTTGTATATATATATTTGTTTTTTGAAGTATGTATATATATATTAAATGATAAATATTATTTTTATATTTGAGTTTTATATCAATATTAAGGTATTTATATTTTATATTGTATTAAAAAAATAAATATTCTATAAATATATTTATATCATATAAATATATATTTCAACTTAAATTTTGAATGTTTTCAAATCGAGTTTGATAATACATATTTTATCTATTATTAATTATGTCAAAAAATAACTTATTCATTCAGGTTAGATCCGATTGATATCTATCAAATTCTAATTAAATTTTCATTCTTAATTTTCACTTTCTTCTTTCTATTATCTCATTAATTTAACTTTAACTTTCATGCCATAAACAATTAAATTAAAAAGTTTGAGATTAAGCTAGTTTTTATTTTTAAATATTTTTTAAAATTATATTTATCTTTAAAGAAAATATCAAATCAAGATTTTTTTATTATTTTTAATATATTGATATAAAAAATTAAAAAATCTAAAAAAAATCATATTAATATATTTAAAAAAACATTTTTAAGAACCCAACTTTTTTAAAAACACTCCACTAAAAAAACTTAGCTTCTTAAGCTTGAAGCTGAAGAAGAAACTTGTATAAGCTAATATCAATTGATCCATAGTAATAAGGGTGGTAGAAGATCTTTCTATCTTTTTAAACAAAATTAAAATTTTATTTTATTTTAAATTAATTTTTTCATATCATTTTTATATGTTTATATCAAAAATAAATTAAAAATATATGTTATATATATATTATTTCAATATATTTTCAAGAAAAAACATATTTTAAAAAATAATTACCATTATAATACCAAATATATTTCAATTAAATACTTAGCGATCCTGATGTTTTTGCATATTCAATTATGAAAAATTGGTAAATCTCTTATTTAACTGCAATTAATTTCTGAATTTGTGATACTATTGGCTTGGAAAAGAAAATAAATAAAAGAAAATAAATACCATTTATCCTTGAAACTCAGAAAATGGAGAAAATTAATCTTTATCCTAGTCTTTAATTGCTTCCTCCAAATGAAATGTAGGTAGGTATCATCAATTAAATTATCTAAAATTATTCTTAGCATTGGATCAAGCATAACTTAATTAGATCTTCAACTTTAATATTTTATTTTATTTTAATACTTCGAGTCCCTCAAACAATTTTTTAGTAAAAAATAAATAAATAAAGTTTTTATTAATTTTTACAGCATATAATATGATAGTTTGAAAAATACATGTATGATAAAAACAAGTGGTTTTAAAAAATAAAAATAAATAAACACGTAATTTGTCAAGACTCAACCTTCCTTCAACATAAAGAAAAGCTATCTACATAGTCATCAATGTAGTTTTTGGACATGTTTTTGAGTAATATTAAGGAATCAAATGATCTTCTTCTTTCTTGCTTTTTTCCCTTCGTGCATTTTAAAGAATAGAAAGAATGCTAAGTGAGCTATCTAATAACCTAATGCCGTCTTTTTATCTTCCCTTAAAAGCTGCAATCCGAGCTGCCAATTCATCATAATCTGGGAGGGAGGGATGCACACGACCAGTCATTATATCCGGCTCTGCTGAAACAGCTCGACCAAGCCTTGTTGTTCCTGGTTCTCGCAGGCTTGATGTTCTGCCAGTTGGAAGAGTTAATTCGGATGTTACACTTCTGAGCCTTGAGGTTTTACCAGCATCATCAATTGCTTGGCTTGAAGAAGGAGGTTTTATACAAGGACTCGATTTGCTCGGTTCATGAGGTGAATCTTTCTTACCGTAATGCATCAAAAGTCCATCCATTACCTTTTCTTTTTCATCCCTTTCATCATCATCTGTTTTTAGGATTCTAGAACCTCGTCTAGGCTCTTCTTGCTTCATTGCACTTGATTTAGTCCTGGCAGACTCGTCGCTTTCAATGCTGCCAACCCTTTCACGACCTGGCGGTGGCTTCAACGGTCTTTCAATACTGCCAAAATATTCGTGTCCTGGTTGTGGCTTCAATGGTCTACTTCTGACTGATCTCGGTTTGGGCTTGGTTTCCTTGGTCCAGTCATCTGGATGATTAGCTTCCTCTGCAGCAATTTTATCATTTGGTTGTAGGGTTTCTTCGATCTTGCTTTCTTTCTCAATTGTTGTTCTGCGGTAAGGGGGAGGAATAAATCTATAGGGAATGGGCTTCTTGCTATCTACTTCATCTTCTGAAACACTTCCTACTGAACTTGAACTAGCTAGTAGGCTATCTTGGTCAGTGCTGTCTCTCCTGCTGACTGAAAACACTTCATCTTCACTGCTGCTTTGCAGTTTGTATTTTTCATCATTGACATTCTTTCTTCCTCGATAAGTGAAAATCCTTTCATCATCTCTTTCCCGGAAGGTATGCTCCCTCTTGTCATGTACTTTGTTGGCCAAGTCATGGCTGTCTCTTTTTGTGCAAGCATCATCCTTGTTCTTTACCCATTTGTATCCGTCATCATCATTCAAGCTGTTCCTTTTCGTAAAAGCATCATCCTTGCTCTTCTTCGGCTCATATTCATCATTATGTTCATGCCTACGCTGGTCCTGAAAAAAAAAAAAGGCCATGCTTGTTCTGATTATGAATAGGAGAGCAGATCTTCAAATGATTTCAAGCAGTAAAGCATGTAATGTCCAAAAAGCATGCTTGGAAGGAAACTTGGTCGGAGACACAAGTGACAAGGCTACCTTAATTAGCAGAAAATATATTTTGACACTACATTTCCAAAATCTAGTCCATTTCCCTTTTCAGTATTGGCGTATAATAACTGGGATAATCCAGGAAGCTTACTTGTTGAGGGGGAGGTGGTTTGAAAAGTTTCTGTTCCAAAGACTTTGAATTCCATTCTATGGAGAACTCTTGTGCTATGTCGTGCATTAATTGAACCTTCATCTCTTCTATGATAGAGTACTTCGGCTTCAACATGTCAACAAACTGCACATCAGTAATCGGCCACATCAGTACAAAAACCAAGATGATCCCAATAAATAGGCCCGGGCCTATATGATTTATTAGTAAATAATGAAGATGAACTGTTATGACCTCTTTATTAACTAACGCTTCAAGAGGAGGTCCATATCTATTAATGAATTCAGACCGAAGATCTCGTAGCTCTGGAAATTCAGAAAATCTTGCTGCAGCATATATTAGAGATTGCACAGCTTCTTTGCATTCCTCGGGGCATTCCCTGAATCAAAAAAGGAAAGTAGAAAGCACGTGTGAATGACATACTAAAAACAGTCCATTTGAAAATGCGAACTGAGAGCATGAAAGGTACTGAAAGCCAAAGATTAAGAAACGAGTCAGCTTGAGGTCTCACAATACTATCATAATAGAGCATACGACAAACTAATTCTCCTAGCTAATCCAGTGGTTAAATTGAAGGAACAAAACTAAAGTTCCCTTTTGTTTTAATTTTCTGTTGCTACAACTAGTATTTTCACTGATATTGCCTTTTCCAGAGGCCAGTTCCCAAAAATTTTAGCTCCTGCCACGCCCAGTAACCTGTGCCTACTGGTAACAAAATTCGTAGAAACTGGTAAAAGATTTCATAGATACTGGCAAAAAATTAGAAGTCTTCGAGGTTTTGATAGATATCAGGTAGGAAGCATTAGCTCAGCCGCAAACAGGTTTGATCAGTTTCACTGAGCTTTACTTTTATAGGAAAAAGGAGACAGGTTAATTGAAAGTACTTATGTTTGTCTTCCATATTCAATCAAGATCACGTAACATATATTTAAAGCATAATTTACATGGTACATAGCACATATCATGTAGTGGCAGAAATTCGAGAAGTACTGGAAGCACTAGTATTAGTTGATTACAGCTACTACACATGGATTATTGACTCTTCCGGCCTGTGCTTTTCCTTACCATTCCTTGAAAACATTCTGTGTTGTTCTTCAATTATTATTTTATTTTTCGGTTAGATGACTGCATTAGTAATATATGTTCTCTCTAATTAATTGGCTGCATGTAATATAGAATGTGAGAGAGATGATGCAAGAAAAGAAAGAATTGATAAACAATAAAAA